CTGTATCCAGTACCAGAGCCAAACACTGCTGCCACAATAGCTATGCCTGATTCTCTGATTATGGTAGAAGGAGCCATTTGTTTTCATTTGAGGAGAAGAATCAAATCTATATAGCTGCTTCTGAGAGCATGCCTATATGTTCACACCTTATAATACTTTCCATCCATTCAGACTCTTGCTAACTTCTTAGAACTCATAATGATGTTGAACAACCCCAAGAAGCACTGCAGGCTTTGGCACCTGAGATAAAGCAACTCATGTTGGAGATTATTCCAAAGTGAAGTTCCAATAAAACTATTGCACACTCAAAGCTATGAAGCTGGAGATCATCTAAACAAGTAAGATGGTTCAAGAACAAAATATCCAGTGATATGCTAGGACAAGATCTTACCAGCTTATAAAAGCAGATTGACAAATGTTGAAGAATTCTGTAAGCTGGTTGACATTACACTGGTAGCTTGATAGAAGTTATGGTAGGCGAATTCATTCCATGGAAGTTAACAAATGCTACAAATAAAGACTTTTTTCCCCCATGAAAAGCTGATTGTTAAACATTTACCAGCATATCCCTGAAAATAGCTGTCATCTATTATTTTGAGGCTTATCTTTGGAAAGAGATTATATCTGATAACAAGCAAAGTTTCTCAAAGCTTTCCAATGCTGTACTGACAAAGGCAAATGAGAGTACAAACTCCTCGGAGATCCAGTTACATTCCAAAGTGGCAGAGAATCTAAACAAATATTGAATGTATAAAATAATGAGGATGTATAATAATGACTGAACTAAAATACTGGATAGCAAAAAATACACGGTATCTGGCTAGTGTGTAGGCTTAAAAATTTAAAGTCCATGCATCTTTTAGGAGGGGATTTTAAACACTATACAATTAAAATTTTAAAATAAGAGGTATAAGCTAAAAGTATATGGTAAAAATTTTAGAGTAACCATTAAAATTAATAAGGAGAGTATGTGCTGTGTCCTTAGTCGCTCAGTCCTGTCTGACTCTTTGTGATCCTATGGACTGTAGCCTACCAGGCTCCTCTGTTCATGGGATTCTCCAGGCAAGAATACTGAAGTGGTTTCCATGCCCTCCTCCAGGGAATCTTCCCAACCCAGGGATCGAACCCAGGTCTCCCACAGTGTAGGCAGATTTTTTACCGTCTGAGCCACTAAGGAGAGTATATAACATCCAAAACAGTAGATGGAACAAAACAGAATAAGAAAATAAAACAAAGCAATAAAAGAAACAAACACACGAAAATTCAACAAATAAAAGATAAAAAGGTGAAAAATGGACCATGTAAACCTAGAACAAAGTAGACAGCAAATGGCATGGTAGAAAAAGAAATTCATATGGATCAATAATTAGAATAAATGTAAATTATTAAGGTCATCTGTTAAAAGAGATTATAAGAATGTATTAAGATAAAAAATTCAGCTTAGTGGTTATAAAATTCTACCAGTGGTTATAAAAGACATACCTAAAACAAAAACACAGAAAGGTCGAAAGTACAAAGGTGGGAAAAAATACTAGAATAATATTTATTAAATGAATATCAGACAAAATAAATTTTAAGATAAAAGACAGTATTATGTGTACAGTAAGATGCTACAAAATTAGAGAAAGTCTAATTCAACATGTGTATATTCTATTCTAACTTGTATGCCCAAATAACATTGATCTGTAAAGAAAAATATAAGGACAAGATTGAAATGCTGACAACTGTATCATTCTGATCACATGAAATTTCAACAGAAATCCCTTCAAAATGTTAGCAAATATATAGACATTTTAGGAAAATAATAATATGCTGGATTGATGGAACAAATACAGAAGTTGTCACTATTTTGATTCTTCTCAAGCTCACATTGAGTATTTACAAAAATTAACCATACTAAGCCTTAAAACATATATCAACATGGTTGGGGGGGGGAAATCAATACAGACCATACTCTGTATTGTATTAACAAAGAGATACATTTAAATATCTCTGTATTTTGTAGATTTCAAAACTGTACATCTCCATTATCTGTGAGTCCAGGAAAAAATAATAGAAAATTGAGAAATACTTAGAACTCAGCTATAACAAGAAATTTACCTATCAATATTTGTTGAATAGAGCTAAGGCACAGATTTTGGGAGATTCAGAAAGGAAGATGGGCTGAAGAACTAGTTAACTGACATCCAAAGAAAAGGTTAAAAGAAAACAGAACAAAAAGAAACACAGGAGAAAATAAGGGCAAAAATTGTGGAAAGTTAAAATAAAGACAGAACATGATCAGTAAGGCAAAAGTCAGGACTTGAGAGTGCAATTAAATTGAAAATAATCTGGCAAGGTTGGCTAATACAAAGAAAATGGACAGAAATATAGAACATTAGGAATAGTTTTTAATAGATTTAAAATGTGAATACCACAAAGCCATATGACAATACACTTAAAAACTCAAATGAAAAGGAAAATTCCTAGAAAAATTATAGTGTAAAACTTTAAGAAATAGGAAGCTTGAATAGCCTTTAAAGTCAGGAACATGACAAAAATGCTCACCACTTTTGTGAGCATTGTCCTAGGTATCCAGACCAGAGAAGAAAAAGAAAGAAAGAGTCAGAGAGAGAAGAAGGAAGAGAGAATGAGGAGAGGGAGGGAGAGAGTGAGAAAAAAAGAGGAGGAAGGGATAAATTAGGAAAGAAGAAATTGTCTACTTACATGTCAAGACTATTTTAAAATTCTAATAATTAAGACAGTATAGTATTGGTACAGATAAAAAAGGACAATAGGCTATAAAAGAGCTTAAACACAAAACTAAGCAAAACAGTAGTTACTTGAGATGTGATAAAGATAATTTTACAAATGAGAGAGAAAAAGAGGGTCCATTCAATAAATAGTTCTGGGACAAACGTTTATCCATGTGGATAAAAACCATAAGCCACTGAATAAAACTGAACTTGAGTTCCTGACATACACCACACATAAGTACTAATACCTAATAAAGATTTAAATGTGCAGAGAAAAATTATAAATTCTAAAACTTGCAGAAGGAAACATAGAAGAATATTTTATGGCCTTAAAGAAAAATCACAGGAGAATAAAAAAAATAAATAAATGGCAGTATATTTACACAATGGAATATTATACAGCAGGGAGCTTTAACAAACTATGGCTACACAGAGAAATATGGATGGTTCTCTAAAATGTTGTTAGTGCAAAATATAATAGAAAGTAAAAAAAAAAAAGACTAGTTAAGGTAATAAAATTTGTATAAAACCCAAAATCAAGCAGTATACTGTTTGAAGATATATACTTAGATGATACAATTTGAAAAAAACAAAGGAATAACAAAATCAAAATTCAGGTCACTTCTAGGAGTAGAAACAGAAAGGAGGAATAACAAACACAGATGCAATAGCACTGGGATCTCTCTCTTTAGTCTACAACTATTTTGTGATTTTGCTTAATAATTTGCATTTAGGTTAGCCATGTTATCTATCAGTTGTTAACAGGAATAGCTTTAAAGTCAAAATCTCAGTTAAAAAAATTTCTTATTATACGAGGACTAATTTAGTCATAACTGGAGCTTTCCAAAATCTCAGTGGGGCTTTGTGGGGTGGGGGTATATGTGAGAGGTTCAACCGGAAATGAGTTTTTTGGTCACTTGAAGTTATTCAAGAAGAGGTTAAGTCGACCCCTTTAAATTAATGTGGACATTTTATTTTATTTTTTTTTTTTTTAATGTGGACATTTTAAAGCAAACTTAAGTATTAGCTGGATGATTGAATTAAATCCCTTCTCCATCTAAATGATTATGATTCCACAGGTCAACTGCTGAATGAAATAATTTATCTGTTCATGTTAGCCAAAACTAACAACATAGAGGCCACATAGATACTGGCCTGCTCTTATGGTCCTGGAGTAAGAATGAAGCAGTTGCTCCCAGAAGCAGCCAGGGAACAATTTCACCCTAAGATTCACTTGCTTCTGTTATTCCCTTAACGATTATTTAATCCATTCCTTCTATGTCATTATTCCTTGGCTAGGTTCAGGAGAAGAAGAAAGGAGGGGAGATCGATGTATACTTGTTTAGCAGTTCCACATAACTCAATTTTGTGCAACTAATTACCTAAAGATAGTGTTAAAACTAATTTGAGCAAGTAGTAAGTTATAGGCAGGATCTTAGAGAATATTCTGCCTTTTAAACTTCATAGGTTCTGGAGTTGAAAGTAGATGGCCCCTTGACTGAAAGTACGGCCAAACGTTCCTCAGATCCCTCACCATCGAGAAGGTGGGGAGTGCCCACAAAAGTGCCAGGATCATCACCTACAGAGAACATTTAAAACTAAGCTAAAAGCATAGGTTAAATAAATTCATTTGTGCAAGCTTCCAAAAGGCAAGGGCAATCTTCAGAGCCTGGAAATGAGAGAAGCCAGAAAGGACACGCAACAGAGGGTAGGATAGTTGGTGTCCACTAAACCCAGTGAAAACCCAGCCCGAGCTGTTTGGTCACTCAGCTGAGTCAGGTATCTCTGTAGACTACTCTCTTAAAAGTGCCTCCTACCTACCACCATCTGTCCAGGGGCTCACTAACCCACTGCCTGTCTTCTGAGCTACACCATATTTGGTTGTTAATTCCAGCAAGAAAGAGAACCAGTGACACTGACCCGGAAGGTCTGGTTTTGTATCAAGTGGCCTGGAGGAAGACATTCACGCCAAGACTGGAAACAGGTCCCTGCCCTTCCCTGGGAACTCTTAATGATGTTTCACACTGCAGATTGCATCTGTTTTGGAGAAAGTCGAGCGTGTCACTGTTTTGAGAAAAAACTAGGGACCCACAGGGACAGTCTTACAGCGAATTTAATATAAGCTATTCTAAGCATGCATCAAGTTTCAATTTGCAAACCCAACCAAAAAAGATAAAGGAACAGCGTATCTTGCCACGCCCTCCACCTCTCCCACCCCACCCCCACCAAAGTCACTGCTGTCACTCAGAAATTCTGCTATTTGTCTGGAAGTGACCGATAAAAAAGAAAAAAAGGAAAGCGGCCCTGGGTGGGTCACGTGACCCTACCAGCTCCCAAAGCAGACGTCTTCTCATAAGGGCTCAGCGTGGAGCCTCTGAAATCTGTGCAGGATTTTCTCTGCAGAGGCAGAAGAAAGCAGGTGGATGGATAAGTAAACATGGCCTTGCTCCTGGTGGCCTTGCTCGCATTCCTGAGCTTGGGCTCAGGATGCCATCATCGACTCTGTCACTGCTCTAACGGGGTTTTCCTCTGCCAGGAGAGCAAGGTGACAGAGATTCCCTCCGACCTCCCCAGGGATGCGGTCGAACTGTAAGTATCTGAGTCAGCGCGAACAACAGCATGGCTGTTATGTGTGCATTGCTGCTATTGTTATTTTCACATTAGGCTGATAACTGTTGGGCTGAAATACTCTGCCCTGACTGAAGGCTTAAGTAAAACAAACTCCCCCAGCCCAACACTCCTGCCCTGTGGTTCTCTAAGGATCTTAGTGAGAGTTTGTCTCGGAATTGTCAGGGAAGGGCAGCGTGGAAACCTGAATCTAAAGGTGAAAGGAAGACTTTTTAGTGTTTTTGACATGTTCGTTCTTGGGGGCTGTACTGTCTTTGGTGGAACTAAGAGAAGGCTAAGGAAAATGTAGAAACTTAGAAGGAGGGAAGGCAGAAAGATGGCTTCGATTGACACGGAAGGCACGATGTGTGTTTTTGAGGAGACTGAATTCAAGAAGGCAGGAGCCATTGCTGCCCTGGAGGCGCCACTAACCCTAACCCTAACCCTAACCCTAACCCTAACCCTAACCCTAACCCTACAGCAAGGAATTCCCGAACTGAGACTCTGCTTCCTGCGGGAAAAGGAGTCACAAGAGAGGGAAGGGGTGTGAAGGAAGGGAGGAAAAAAAGGAGGCATAGAAGGAAGGAGATCACCTTTCATACCACTGGGAAGAGGTGATCCCCAACTTTAGATTTTTACTGAGCTACTTTAAAAGGAAATAGACTCTTAGAACTTGACAAGATCTTAGACATCATTCCACTTCCATCTGTTTATTTTGCAGTTGAGAAATCTGGGGTCTGGAGAGCAGAAAATTTCCTAACCTCTCACGATGAGTAGAGGTGGAGCCAAACTGGGAAGCAGGCCTTTGCCTCACAGATTGCTGTCTTCCCCTTAAAGCCCCGTGTCTATTGCGTTAAAGTAAGAGGAAGGCAGGACTGTTTCATGGGCCAATGACCATCGCTCCCCACCTCCCCACTCCTCCCCACCACCAGAGAGTTGGCTTGGAGATCATAGATATCCTCAGTCGTTTTATCCCAAGGATTTTAAACAGAAGCTGCTATTTGGGAAGCGTCCTTTAATCTTGGTTCCCCAAAGCTATGCATGATCTTATTTTTGGCAGAAGGTGGTCATCTTTTCATTTACCAGTTACCATTACCTATGCTCAAACGCGATGGGGCTGCATTTCAGATTTTCACTCAGGGACAAACAGCTGCAAGGCTGAGTTGGTTCTGCCTGCTCCTTTTCCCCCGACATCACAAGCTCTCCATTCCTTCCCAGAGGCAGCGGCAGGGAAAACAGGTGGCCAACTCTGTGTTTTGGCAACACTGCCTTAATGAGACAGTTACTCCTGATTGCAGGGAAGAATGTGCCTATGCACAACCTGCTTTGTTAGATGATTATAAACACAAGAGAAGACTGATGGACCTGAGCTCCTCTAAGAAGTCAGTCGCTTTTTGAACAATTACTTCTTTGAGCCTCAAGTTCCTAACTTCTAGAAGCTTAATACAGTCTGCTTGGTGGGATGGCTGTGAACACCAAAAGATACAGCCACTCAATGCACACACTCAGCACACATACACACACATGCTCACACACACACACACACATGCACACACACATTTCTACCTCTCTCAGTCCTTCTCTCTTTCCAGTGTTTCCCCAGGGACCAAGCAGAGCCAACCAGTTACTAAAAGAGACAGCCTCTTACAAGGCTTAATTTTAGAGTGATAACCTCTTTTCAAAACTCCCTTCTAAATTAGGCTATCTGATTTCTGGCATCTCTTCACCAAGGGAGAATTTTTTTTTTTTCCCACTCTGTATAGAAAAACAGGAAGCAACCAGATGTGGGCCATAGTCTGTGGAATGCCCACTTCTGATTTAGACCATAGCTGAAAGCAGTTAAATATTTCTGGCTTCAGGCAAACTCCAGGAGATAGTGAAGGACAGAGATGCTTAGAGTGCTGCAGTCCATGGGGCTGCAAACAGTTGGATACTACTGAACGACTGAACAGCAACAACAAAGTGTTTAGGTGGCCTGAGACAACACAGCATCGTGGAGAAAGACCTCAACTTGCTGAGCAGGGTCAGGAATAGAGGGAATTCCTAAGTAATAGTCACAGGTGGGCCTTTAACTATCACAAGTCAGAGATGGAAGAGTATGGATTCTAGAACCTAAGAGACCTGTGTCCTAACCCAGACTATGACTGTTTCTTGCTTCAGCATGTGGGCTCTTGGGTGTATCATGGAAATTGTAATGTGTACAATTTTTCAGAGTTGCCATGGGCATTAAATGTAGGATTAAAACATTGAGCACAATGCCTCTCAAGTGTGGGGGGTGGGGATTATTGTTCATCTGTAAAGTACTAGAGAAAAAAACCACCACAGAGTGCATTGAGGATGAGAAGGCTTTGAAAAACTGATGTAAAGATTTTTGTAGCTCTGAGATAGTTTATAGTATCCCGCTGATTTAAGGATAATCTCCTTCTCCTCCCAGTGGCTGGAGCACTTCCTCTCTGAATAAGAAATGGTGTTCCTTTGGGCTTTCAGTATTTGCCAAGAACTCAGGGAACAGGTTTCATTCTGATGATAGGCAAAGGATTTTTTTTGATTTCAGACTTACTCTAGAAACTCAGCTTCACCTAGGGGCAATGAATCTAGAAAGGACCCTTTGATCTTGCATTATTCTTCCTGGAGTTAGAATTTTTAAGAATGTGAACACTCATTCAAAACCTGAAATTTTAGGTCTCAGTGATGTTATGGATACAGATTGTTTTCTTTAGCAGGGTCAGATGACCACAATACTAGAAGAAAACAGTCCATTGATGGGCATTCTTGGCACAGGGAGAACTGTGTTGGTATGATGCTATAGGCTGCCTGTGTTGACCCCTGTCTTCACAGCAAGCTCCTATATCTCATTGCCATCTCGATTCTCTTTCTGAGATGTAGAGAGGAACGGATTACAAAACTACTAAAGCCATTGATGATTTCTTCATTTGTTGAATGTTGATAGTTTAATTCACCTCACCATGTAGGTTTCATGTTCCCCAAAGCCCACATCTAACTACTTTCATAAACTCCCTTCATACTGCTACAAGCAATAATTCTTTTTTTTTATTGCCATTATCTTTGTTTGGAATCTGAACATCTACACACTGGACTAAATAATTGTCTTAATTCATCTCCTTGCTACCAATCTCCGTCTTCTCCAAACCAGCCCAAACACCGTCGTTCCATTTTCCTCCTTGAAACACCACAGCCACCATGATTCTCCAGTTCAAAATCATTTGGTGGCTCATCTTTCTGACTTTACCTCTCACCTATCTCCAACAGGAGCCATCTGCTGCACAAACCTGAAAAAGACTTGCTCTCAAGCTCAGTTCGCGTCCCAGGGTGTTACTACTGTTGTACTTCTTGCTTATATGTTCTGCAAGTTCTTCTTTGTCTCTTGAAATCCGACCTACTTACTATAAGCCGGCTCAAAGTTTGCCTCTTTGACAAACACTCTCCTGACCATTCCATCTTCATGTAATCTGAACCCTGGTGCCGTTCATTTTACAGTCTTGCTTTGCCCTTAATTTTTCATGTGTGTCCTATTTCCTCAGTGGCAGTGAACGTTTTCTTTGCAGTCATTGTGCCTGGCTCAATGCAGTGTAGGTTCTGGGCCCTCATTTACATACAGAATAAATGACACAATATATAAGGGAGAATTACATCTGCTTATTTGCTTTGCTCCTCAGTATCGAAGAAAAGATTCTTATAAAAGATGATTATTGCTCCCCCTGTGGGGAACTACTACAGGATTTGATAGTTCCCTTGCTTTCTTTGCTTTTTTACGTGTTTGTTTTAAAGAAAATGCCTGTATATCATTCTGGAATCCATTACTTTATTCAGAAAGAGAGACACATAGACTTGAAACAAAGTCTACTAAGTTACAAGTTGAATATTCTTTTAGGCATGCCACTCAATTCTCTTGATTTAAGTAATAATACCTGTTTCTCTATTTTTAACAAGAATATTGAAAGGATGAGTGAAGTTACCTTAAACAAAATCACTTTAAACCAGGCAAAAGTGTTCAAAGAAATACAATTTTTGCCAACTGAGGTCAGATTCCAAACCCTGCATTAGGTCTCCTGTGTTTCCCAGATGTGCTTTGATGATTGTAGTCTGTCCAGATGTCAAAACCAAACATCCCACTGTGCACACTGCTCCGGGTTCATCTATCTGGAGAAGCCTACTGCCGTGTTTAGATATTTCTTTGAAAGAAACAAACAGCACAGATTTCATGCTAATGCATACATAATCTTTCCAAATCCTGCACCGTCTTTAGTGAGAAATGATATGTCTATGTCCAACATTTAGAATTTAATCAAGCTGGGGTAAGGAAGGTTTATATTTCCTGCATAAAAATCAGAAAAAGGAACAGCTATAGAATGCAGTACCTTCAAAGGGAAAAAGTAAAAATTATATTGCAGAGGAAAAAATTCTTTAAAGTAACAGAGGAACTCTACTCTGAGAATTGGCTAAGAGCTATAATTTATAGAGTCATTATCAGCTATTGAAAGAGTAAGGGTTTGATAGCATAGAACTGCACTTCTTGATGATGATAACATCTCCTTGTTTACCTAAAGGTCAGGGCTGTCCTTCCTCACCCAAGTCCTCTGCCAAACAAGCCAAAGCTTCAGAAGCAGAAAATCTTGGCAGCAAATGGGAAATTCATTTAATGTTTGACTATCCTTCTCCAAAACCACTAATTGGGTTATCCAGTCACTGTGGTTTATTGGACTATCTTCTTTTTTTTTTTTTTTTGAACTGTTAGATTTAAGATCTCCAATTTAGCTTTATTTAGACTAGATGCTAACTTTTATATCCCATAAGGTCACCTAGCAAAGAGAGTAATTATTTTTAATTGCTTAAGATCTGATTATAATGAGATATGGATGTTTCTTCTTAATCTGACCTCTTCCTGAAGAATCTTGAGCAAGTTTTATGTCTCTGACATGAACACGCCATAACCTTTTTCTTTCATACGGAATATGCCAACT